CTGGGTGTCTGGTCCAATAAGTGGTATCCACACCCATACCCACCCCCCCACCCCCACCCACCCCCACCCGTACCCACACACCCATACACACACCCACACCCACCCACATCCACATCCACATCCACACCCTATATATAGGGACCCAAGCGCATTTTCCAGAATGGTTGTAACACCTTTTCTGCTTTGCATGAAAACTGCTCTCGGTGGTGTCAATTTTTATATATACGATTTTCTTTTCTTTATTACTTACTCTATTATCTATACATTTGAATATTTTTTATTGTTCGTATTGCATGTATTAGCAGTAGTCACTTCTTTTGTCGTCATGTGAAATGATCTGCGAAATATCCAGATACTACTTTTGTTCTATATATTCATTACATTTCTTTTCATTATAAATTTAATATCTTTGTAATTCATGATTACTTATCAAATTTCATGAATAAACACACTCTGATACAATATCATCTCATACTTATAATTAAATTATTTTATGCTACTATGTGACTAGGATGACCCATAAATTCGACATTGAAATCATGTTTCATTTTAAACACTTTTTCTTCTAATATTTTAGTGTAAGTGTATTTTGACTGAGACACATCCTAACAAGTCTTGGAGAATCATATTCAGTTCTGATAATTGCAATCAACTTCTTTCAGTTCATTCCTATTGCCTCGTAGAATATTACTTTTGCTAGCAAACAGTTTTATCAACTAATACTAATACGAGTGGTTGCTGTTTCACATTCTCAACAAATTTTACTTGAAAGATGCATTGCTTCCATATGAAATCTCAGAGCATTTCAAGATATTGTTGTAACTGTCGCGATATACAAATAAGAATTTTAAGAAACATATCTTTGTCAGATTTCATTAAATCAAAACGATAGCGCGAAATAGCAATTTTAGATGCAACAATTACTATCATGTGAAGCTAAGCACATTTTGAAAGTCAATTATGACATTATTGTGCTAGCAGTGATTCGGTACTTTTCATATTCTTGAAGTTTTACCAGGAAAGGCAGAATAGTATATCGTTGCTCTAAACTCTTCAGTCGAGGGTTAAGCGAATCGCACAGCGACGAGCGTTACTTGTTCGTATTATTTGATGTGTTGTATTTATTGTATATCACTTGTACTGGTACTTTTTGGTAGTTTTTGTATATGTATATGAGTCGATTCATATTTTCTATTGTACCTTGTACTTTTAATAGCAAATCTTTTGGATTTTATTCCATTGATATACTCTATTTTTATATCTCAATGGTTCTTCATATATCGTACTCCTGTTTTTTTTCATGTGTTTTGCAACATATTAGCTATTCTGACTGGAAAACTATTTTTTTTGTTCTTCTTCATGAGGGAAATGTGTGTGGAAGCATAGAAAACTTGCTGTGATTTTTTTCTTTTTATTGTTACTTCTATTATAACAAATAATTCGGATATTTGTTTTTCTAAATAAAAGCTAATTGAAAAAAATAATAAATGCAGCTAATCTATATAAAATAAAATCACTGATAGATCACGATGTATCATAATAATCGTTAAAAATATCATCAAAAATCGGCGATTAATCGTGATTTAGCTCACGATTATCATTTCAATAAATCGCGATAAATCGCCGATTTTTTACCGATTTCGAGAACATGAGAACACACTCTATCTATTCGTAAAAAAAAATCTTTTTTTTGCTTACTATAAGGAAATAAGATCTTGACGACACTACTTTTGGATTGCCCTAAGTAGTATCATATGATCAAAAGCAAAGATAGATCTAATCACAACAACAAAGGATATTATAAAGAAATGAGTGATAACACAAATAATGAAAGAAAAGAAATAGAACGCAAGAGAAGAACATGAATCATAGTGAAACAATATGCAAAGGGAAGAGTCTGTAAGAGATTTGTCAGTATATCGGGTTCAAGTGGAGTGACAGATGTTCTACTTTAATAACGATAGGATGACAACAAAAATAATTATTAATAAGTGTGTGAAAATAATATTTTCATTTAATGTATTTGTACAACAGATCATGTGTCCATTACTTATTGATGTTGAATAGGATGAACGAGATTTTTTCTTCTGCGTAGTGTGAAAGACTCATTGTTGGCACTGATTTGATTCTCATAGAATAATGCTTGTCGAGCTCGAACTGGTAGA